GTAGTAGTAGTAGTAGTAGTAGTAGTAGTAGTAGTAGTAGTAGTAGTCCACCCTGTTACTGAGCTTTCGAGGGGGGGGACCTCAAAAATGTAACTTACATTTTTTGGGGGGGACCCTAAATGTAACAACCCCCCCCCCCAGGCAAGATTTCAGGGTCTCTGGAGGGGGGGGAGGGGGCCTATAAAATGTAACTATGGACCTCCCAGGGCCTATGTTACATTTTTGCACCCCCCCCCCGATGCCATTTTTTGGGGGGGTGGAAGAAATGTAACAAGATACCTCCAAGGTAGTCTCACAGGTGTATAGTTACGTTACATTTGTTCTCCCCCGCTTTTAGCTTCGTGGAGCTTGCATGTGTATGTAGAGCATTTGGCTCCACGATGGCACATGCCGTTGAGAAAGACAATACCGAATTGGACTAAACGAGATTTTCAAAGATAGAATAGACATTGTCAATTCATTATTTTGTTTGGCTCTGGCTGGCAGGGATAAGGCTTGGTGATGCTTGGGAGGTGAAACATTGGTGGATCAGGCAACAGACAAGCAGGTAAACATGCAAGTTTTCAAGCCCTGGACTAACAGTAAGTTACATTTATTATGGTCCTTTTGTGAAGTCTTTTTTCTTTTTGAGCTTGGGAGGTGTGAGGCAGGGGGTTTGTAGTGTGGTGGGCCAAAGGATGCTGGAAGCAAACCCTCCAGTGGCGCACAGTCCAGGGAACCATATGTGATAATGGAGTATTTCATGCCTACCCGGAACTCACTTACATTTTTTCTTGTCCTGTTTGTACTTCCACAGTAAAAATTGGACCAGCTGTGGCCGGCAGGGAGAACGCTGGGCAGTGGTTGGGTGATAAAAAAATGTAACTAAGTGCGCCCCAGGCAACAGACAAGCAGGTAAACATGCAAGTTTTCAAGCCCTGGACAAACAGTAAGTTACACTTATTATGGTCCTTTTATGAAGTTTTTTCTCCTTTTTGGGCTTGGGAGGTGTGAGACAGGGGATGGCCAAGCGTTTCTTGTAGTGTGGTGGGCCAATGACTGAGAGATGCTGAAAGAAGGATGCTGGAAGCAAACCCTCCCGTGGCACACAGGACAGGGAACCATATGTGATAATGGAGTATTTCATGCCTACCCAGAACTCACTTACATTTTTTCTTATCCTGTTTGTACTTCCACAGTAGAAATTGGACCAGCTGTGGCTGGCAGGGAGAACGCTGGGCAGTGGTTGGGTGATAAAAAATGTAACTAAGTGTGCCCCAGGCAACACACAAGCAGGTGGGCACTTGCGAAAAGCGCAGAGGGAAAGACTGCTACAGCATGCTGCAGTTTATGACCTTCAAGATGTAAGTTACAGTTGCAGGCAGACTGCCTGGAAATTGTAACTTACATTTTTTGCAGATTGTTACATTTTCTGCCTGTGGATGCCAGGAAATTGTAACTTACATTTTCCAGGGTTTTCTGAGAAAGTGTAACTTACATTTTCCAGGCACCCTCGAACAGGAAAATGTAAGTTACATTTTTTCAGGTCCCCCCCTGCATACTGGGTAGGGATAGTAGTAGTAGTAGTAGTAGTAGTAGTAGTAGTATGTGTGGGGCATGTTTGTTTCACCTGTTCGCGCATGGCACTCTTGGTACGGTCAGGAACAGGACGAGGGTGCCAATAGCTTCAGTGGCATTTCGAGTTTGAAGGCCTGGCGTTGGGCAGGACGCACAGGAGCTGTTTGGAACGGTTCTCGGGGCACCCCAGAATACAAGCCAGGGACGGATCTAGAAAAGGCCAACCAGTGCCAGCCATGCTGACAGACGCCACGAGGATCTGTGTTTGTTTTTTGGGGCTGGACGTCGAGCCGCAAGATTGTTTAGAGTCGCAATCAAAAGGCCCTCGACAGACCAAACCGGTAAAAGACAACATTCTGTCCTTCAGGCCCGGGGACCCACACTGTCCGGAGTCTCTGGAGTTTGGAAGAGAGCCACGGGCGGCACGGGCCGGCACGGGCTTGAGGCCTTCCGGATCATCCGGCTGACTCGAATCCTGAAGACAGCGCAGCTGGTGCGGATCTTCCGCTTCGTCATGGCCTTGAGGAGCGAACAACAGGGAGAGAGAGAGAGAGGGAGACTAAGGCTGAATCTGCAAGGTGGGAATGGGAATTTGGGATTCTCTGAAGATGTAGCTTTCTTTGTTGAAGTGTTGAAGCTGGAATTTCGTGCCCAAAGAGTGTTTGGGATGATGCTGCTATGTGGGGTTGAGTGGAATTGTTACACGCTAAAAGGGGGGTGGCCAGAAGTGAAAACCAACTGAAGTGGGACAAACCAGAGAGGTCGTCAGAGTCTTGTCACAAAAGTTTGCATTGGTGACCTGAGCTTGCATTGCTCTAGTACAATTATATGATCGGGATGCGTTGCCTTCAGAATTGCTTGGTAGATTAAGTGCAGGTTTTAGATTCCCGCCTTTTATTCATGCATGGGATGAAATCATTGTTCTTAGTGAGCGGACTCGTCCTAACTTTAGCAACTGTTCATCCACCTGCTGCCTGCTGTTTTCTCACAAATCCAGGAGATTAATTAGGAAATCGCTTTCTGAAGAAGGGAGGCAAGCGACGCCCTTACTGTACCCAAGACGACCTTGTTACCAATCCAAGAGCAGTGGCATGTTGGGCCGGACCAGCTATAGTATATAAGCAGCTCCAAGAGGTAGGTAGCCAATTGGCTCCATTTTTCCAAGTTCGTGCCCTTCACAGATGTGGGTTTGCTGTTTATGTTTAATTCATCGATATTACAGTAATATCAGTAATGTTTTTTTTATTTGGCGCAAGTTGGGCGTGCATCTCTTGACCCAGGTTCTTGGCCTCATGTTTGGCATGCTGCGCATTCACTCAAGCCAGTTTCCTTGCAGGACCTTGGTGCAGTCGGTGCTCCACACACTCAAAGCGTTGATTTGGGCAATGATGCTTCTATTGCTGATTGCAACTCAGCAAACATTGCGCGACAAAGGCATGTGTTCGACCAATTCTGGCTCATGTTCATGGTGACTTGCATGATCCAGTACACATTTCAAGGAATTGACGTGAGAGAGGCTGCGTCCGCGTGGACCCGCGTCCGCCCTAAAACCTATTGGAAGTGTCTTTTATTTTTTCCGGAACTCGTTGCCAATTACCGAACACTTCTTTTTTAGATTCCCCTGTGAGGAACAAGAGTAAGTACTGAACTTGCCATCCCAAAGTCCAAGGGGGAATGGGAAATTAAGTAGAACTACGCACGCATGCATCAACCACTGGTGAGGTCTATGTCTTTGCGGTTCTCTTTGCGCAAACAGCCCCTTGGCTGGACGGGGCTGGTGTGTGGGGGCGAGGCCTAGTGTTGGCGACAAGCACCTTGTTGGGAGGCAACAGGACATCCATGGAAATCCTCAGGTGAATGGAAACATATGGACACTTGAGGTTGCAAATCCGACCGCAGAACCCCAGGGTGGGATTGGGGACCCTTTAGATGAGCGGCCAAAGGTCAGCTGGGCCAGCTGGGAGCCACAAAGGTCTGCAACGGGAGAGTGGCAATGACCGCGAGTCGTTCGGAAGATAGTAGTAAGGCACTTGTTACTAGTAGCGATGCACTTGTTACTGAATCCGGCGATATGGCGCCAAATATGGCCATCCCGAAACCGTCTTCGGCACCAAACTGCAGCTGCCGTGACCGGTCCATGGTGAATGTGACATAATGTGACAAGTAGGTTGTCCAGTGAAAGATCAGACTGAGACATGGCGCTTTGTCATCTTTGTCAAAAAACCTGGGAGCTCTTTGTCCAGCAGGAATGAAGGCTCTCTTGGCTTGCAGGTCAACGACCACAAAGTCGACTTTGACATGTCCACAGAAAGTGGCTCGCTGCATCGTGCATCGAGAGCTATCGACGCACAAATGCTCACAAATGTTCATCAGAATCAGGTCAATGAGATCTGGCCTGAAAAGAGGTGTATATAAGCAAGAGCTGACTAGTGTTGTGGCCGGGTGTTGTACCTCACGGTACGCTTTGAGCGTCAAGTTTCAGGCTTGGTACGGCTTGAATGGCCGGCATTCCTAGGGAGAAACCATCAGGTTGTCGAGTCAGACAAGGAAATATTATTTGTGTGTTTTTAAACAACATATATTTTATATATGCACAGTAATTAGTATTGATATGTGTATATCATATCTCTATCTATATATGCGCAGGCAGTTTATATACACAAAATCTTTGTGTGTGTAATAGACAAGGGCATACGAGGGCTGCATGAACAAGCTAGGACCATGCGAGTGCATGCCTTTTCAGAAGGGGCCATTGCGAGGACTACGAGACGCGAGCATCCGCTATTTTGGCTCTTTGCCTTATACGATGCTGCAACTTGCCCTTGTCCAGGTGGTCCTTGGGAGGGGTTGTTGTTTCCCAGAAGTGCTTGTAGGTGACTGTTCCAAGAGGCGGGTACCTTGCACACACTTGGGTTCATGGAGACGAGCACAATATGGTTTCCATGGAGCTCAGTTCTACCAGCCTCTTCCACCTCCTCAGCCCACGGATTGAGGGCTCGGAGGCTCAGCCATGCGGTTTCAGAGGATGGTTTGGCCTCAGGACACTCTTCATGAGCATTGCTGGCGGCGTGAGTTGGGAGGAACCCATTTTCGTCTTGATCGAGATCTCCACCTGGTGGCACCTGGGATCGATGGAGGGACAGGCAGGATCGATGGCGGAAGTGGAAGACCGGTATATATATATATAGTATACATAGACTCTCAAAATATTGGACGATCTGCAGTAATTTTGAGCATTGGAGGGTGTGTTTACCTGTGTATATATATATATATATATCGAGCCAGACGCATTTGTTTGAGCTCTTGTCTCCAATTTGTGGGGCACCTTGGGATCCAGGTAACATGCAAGAAAGGAACAGTGAGACAACAAATCCAACCAGAAACCTCGTGGAACCTCCATGACCCGTTGGGTTCCGAATGCATGCAGCATCAGCCACCCATAAGTCCAGGGTGATGGGAGGGTGGGAGAGCCTCCCAGTACACCGGCGTACTGAGCACTCAGCCTGAGACATGCTGAGGTTTGAGAGTATGTTTCGTGGCTTGCGACATTTTCACGTCATGGCTTTCGACGCTTTCTGCGACGGATAAGATCGGTTCTTCTTAATGCTCGGTTCCAAGGTTTTGAGAGATGTTGTGAACAAAGGGGGGCCCACGTAAGTGGAGTGACACTGTAATTAGTTGTTTCCTGTGAGTGCCGTACACTCAATTAACCAAGCTTCCTTATTATATAGACGTCTCGAGCAGTGCTGCAGGAATATATAGCGGGTGCTTGATGTTCGTAACCAGCCTGAAGGATTTAAATGACACTTTCTCTTTTGTGTGTTACCACCCGTCCTTATCATTTCAACTTCCGATGCCACGACTCGCTAAGGACTGGGCTGTACATATTTTACATTGCATCTTGCCTGAGAGACGCCCTCCTGGAACGACTCCGCCCAAACCTACGGCGTTTTCCTGGGCTTCTTGGGGTCCAAAAGGTTCTTAAGACTGCCCCACATCGGGGAGTGGGCAAGAGGTATGTATTCACTACTAGTTATGTAGTATATGCCTAAGGACTGAAAACCGGACCCGCTTTTCTGACATTTTTGGACTCCACGACGCTTGGTCATGTCATCACATGGTGTTGGAGGGGTGGGGTGAGGGTCAAATTCCCCGCAGTGGAGCGTGTAATACACAGTATGCCTGGATTCAACTCACAGTCCAACAAGTTTCACAAGAGCGAGTGAGCGAAGGCGATCGAGCGGCTGTTTTCACACGCACATACCTTGAGCCAAATGTTATGGCATGTCAATGCATTGCGAAAGAGCATATCGCAAGATAACCAAGTTGAAGCAATAGCGTAAACGGGGGCCTCAATACGGAAAACATGGTGGGGTGTTGTAACTTCGTTCTTGTTTCACATACGTCTCATGAGCATGAAGGCTTAAGAAGTAGCCACGCTGTGTGCTTTAGTTTTGTTGTTTCGGTTGTCGGGTGTTCCTTGTCCTCCATTTTTTTTGTGTTTTCTGCCTTTGTGGTGAGTCAACCCCTTTTCTTTACACCAGTGCACGGCTTAACTCGTGATTGTTCTGACCTTTTTTTTTGTTCACGAAAAAGTTTTGGGCTCAGATCGTGGCTGGGTAAACTGGGAGCAGGTGTTAGAAACTCGTCTTTCGTTGTTCACACTTTGGTGCGTTGTAGCAGCTCCATGCCGGAAGGGCGCGCCGCCGCTTACACAAAAACAGGCAGCTTGAGGTGTCAACCTTTCTTTTTTTCATGCAGAGCGCAGGACAAAGCACTGCGTTTATGACATGAGAGCCTGCAAAATAGGGTACAGTTTCCAATCCGTACCGTAGTATATCGATGGAAGTTTGAACCTGCTTTAGCCACACATAGATGAGTCCTAGATAGATACCTCAACCAATTTGACCCTCAGATACCCTCAGTTCTTTTTGACGCTTGACTGTTTGACCCACGAAGCTCGCGGCAGCGGCTGGCTCAGCTTACAGAAGTGCCGGACAGATCCCGCATGGAACTGGTCTAGTTTCTTTGTGCTTTGCTGGTGGAAAGGCGTCCTGGGTCTTGGAACGCGCAACCTCAGTGGGTCTACTTGATACACTGCAGACAACTCAAGGCCCAATTGTTGCATATTGTTGCCAGCTGTATGGTACAGGGACGATGCATGTGAGTTTTAAATCTTAAAAGTTACCTCCTTACAAGTCCAACATACAGCAACACAATGGAAACAGTATTGCTACAAATAAGTGTCAACATGTTTCAATTTTGTCGAGGCGTTCACATACTTCGCGGTCCTCAACGCGCCTGTCCTGCATTGGATAGCCCAAGTCAAGCTGGGTGGAGGACATCCTGACCGACATTGGTTTGAGCCCCATGTTATATTGGCTATGTGGGGAAGATTCAAGAGTTCAATATTAGGTTTTTAATTGTGTTTCATTTACCTCCTTACATTTTCCAGTTTGATTCAGCTGTAGGCCGGACTACCTCTATGAGTTCATTTCACCACTGGCAATCAGATTTTTTACGATGTCATGAGTATGATGTAGTGTGATGGGAGTTATGGGTTTGTGTCCATTAGGAAAGACTTTGTGGGATCGGGATCGCTGTTCTTTCCACCTGGATGCCCATGGCTGCACCCAGAACCTCGGTGGTACCGAAAGCCCAGGTGGTGACGGCTGTGTTTTGTGCGGAGCCTCTGTGGTACCGAGCACGTGCAACCGGTATGGAGGGTGCAACCGGGGTGTGCATGTGTTACATTCCATGCCTTACTATCACTTTATCATGCAACATATACGCACTATGTTGTTTTTCCTGGATTGGTAGGCGCATGTATGCGCATGTCATCCTGGTTCTTTGGTGCAGATGTAGCTTACAGTGTGTATGTGCTGCAAATGTTTTCCAAATATTATGCAGTAAACTGCTTGGTGCATACCCCAATTAGCAATCCCCCGCAGCGTTCTTGAGAATTCTCCACTATCCATAGCGCCTGCAAAGCGTGTCCATATGTGTCCATATAACATACTGTAGGCCGCACGTTCGCAGAAAAAGACACCGATACACGGCAAGCACTTAGGGACACAGTTTCCAAGCACGCTCCCAGTAGCACAAAGCACTTCATGGATGCAGTTGGGAAATGGCAATAGCCACTCCCGGAATGTCAGACCTGCTCAACGAGCCCGTTCCCAGGTCAAAGTGCCATCGAGTCCGCCTCGAACGACCATGCTACGGTTGTCCAGAACATGTTGGACAACAAGGCACAGAATTGACTATACAGATTGGGGACTACATGTTCTTTCAAATTAGTATGGCTTGATCTCCGCAAATCCCCGCGGGATGCTACCATCAAGTGTCACATAAAGGCAGCAGTGTTTGCAATGCTTCAGACATGGCTTTGCAGAAAGCACTTTGAACTTTTGTTTTTGCGAAGTAGTGTGAGCGTAGCTTTCTGCCAGAAGAGGTGAAGTCGCCCCTTGCACAGATATGATACACGCACAGATATGACATGAGCGGGCTTCGGATGAACAACTTCCACAAAGTGGCTGCAGTCGTGTGGTTTTGAATGCTGGTCATTCACCCAGTTGGGAAACGTAAAAGCCCCTGGGCTGCGGACGTTTTGGCTGATTCAGATCCATAGGTTTGGGTGATCCGACTGCACGTCATCCGGGGCTCAACATGACAGATGGTTTATTAGCAGCGCTGCTCTTGAAAAAGTTCTTAAAATGCAGTAGTGGCAGTCAGGCTCGACTCTTCGGAAAGAACTCGACGTGTAACGACGGAAACAAGTTGTTGTTTTCCCTGCCTACTCGAGACCGCCCCCCAGTTGTATCAGCTTTGCAGGAGTCGCACTTGCAAAAGCTTCGAGAGCTTTTCAGTAAACTTGGTGATGAGCAACTTGGCTTCCCTCCCAAGCGCCTCAAGCCATGTGCCCACAAAATTTGCTACCGCAACAATGATCTATCATTACACATTGAGATTGAGACCAGTGGAGATAACACTTTTACCAACTCCAGCAAACACAACTCGTGGCACCAGATGCAAGAAATCTTGAAACTGAATAGTGAATACTGCAGACTGCAGAATTAACATCATATCAACCACGATGATGACGATATTATTTTTGTTGGAAATGACATCAAGCCGTGACACTGCAGACTTGCAAAATAGACATGTTTCATCAACTCACTGGTTTTACAGGGACTTCGCTCCATACATACGTCCAAAATCATATCCAAACGTCTCCCAACTCCGTTGCATCATACTGCCCATTCTTTAAGTGATTGCCTAGCTTCCATGGATTGCTGCTTCGAACCGACGTCGACCCGCCGTTTTGACCTGATCCGCTGCGGTTTTCGTTCGATCGAAGGTCCACCGGTGCGATCACCTTCGGGGTCTTCGAGGAGAAGATTCGGGCGCCGGCGGTGCGCGACTATTTCGAAACCTTGGGCTTAGATGTTTGGGACCCCTGGAGCTTCTTCAAGCTCTTGGATACGGATGGAGGCAGGAGTTCTTTTTTATTGTGTGTGGGGTGTGGCGGAAGCGACAAAACGGTGCTTAGTGGCTTAGTGCAAGTAATTAGGAAGACGGAAAGATGTACAGCTGAAGTGCCAAGAGTCATTCTTCATGACTTCATGGCAATCTGCTTTTCTAGGCTCTGCTGGTTGCCAAACTCCTCGAAGATAATTAGTTCCTTCATGTTACTCATAGCTTCCATTTAATTATACACCAGCCTTAGTTCGCCTTGGGTTCAATACGCTTATTTTCAAGCTGCTCAGACTGCACACCTGCACCCATGGGGGCAGTGGCGCGACTAGGTGGTTCAGTGGAGATTGAAGAGTTTTTTATGGGGTGTCTTCGTTTCAGCGGCCAAGCTCGTGCGATGGACGTGGGAAAGATCATCCAGGACTGACAGCCGACTCGGGGCAATGAGGAAAATTCGAAGGGAACACCAAGATTGAGTGGCAGTAGCTGTATTAGCTTTCGAGGACATCGCATCAACAAGGATCAATCATATATCAATCATAACAAACAGTCAAGTCCTCCGCCGACCATGTCAAACCGTCGGCAGAGGGCGCAACCTCAGATGCCTCAGATGCATGGGTTGAGGCTTTGATTTCTTTAGACCAGAGAACAGAGGTGGCGTTTCCTTTCGCCCAACCGTCTAGGTGAGGTAGGCATCAGCCCACCGTCTTCATCACCCGCAAAGATGGGGGTCTAAGCCACGAGACGGGTCTCCCGGGTGCCTGCGTTAAGACTGTCCTCCGCTCTCTTCGGAGGACCAGTCTTGGATCTTGAAGAACCAGGGGAGACACTTGCGCAGCAGTCTGCATGGTTAATTATGGGGATCCAAAAGCTAGGGGTTGCAAGTCATGCAAGGGTTGATTAATTATGCTTGGTGATGATCCTGTGCAAGTCAACCTTTTCTGTCGTGGAGTTGCTCCGAAGAAATCAGATCATCGTCACTCTTTATTGGTGGAGATTTCTTTATAGGTTCCTAGACCTTCTCTACAGTACCAGGGTCGTTGTTCTGATGCAGCCATTGGACACCAAATTTGCCCCCTGGGCGATTGTGGCAAAGAACGTGTACTACGTACTCAGTCTTGATGCCTTGTGGACGGCCGACATGGCATGTTCTCAGGGAATCACTGGAAAAGGATAATTAGAGTGCAATACCTTTCATCATTATTGTTGATCCAATGAATGTGGGTACTGATACTGATTTAACAACAGTAGTTTGCCGCTTGAAAAACTACTACATCCCATTTCCATAGACCAAGACTTGGTAGACGGGAACATTGCAAGTTACTACATGTTCATACATGTACCCCACCAACCCACAAGCAGTATCAAGTAGTTCTAGCAAGACCATGGGTTGCAGTTGGCAGCCTCAACTCCAGTGTAAACTTGTGAGACGTGTCCAAGTCGCAGGCTCCTCATGGGTTGGATTCAAAGCCTTAGGATTCCAAAGCTACATGGAAGATGAGCTTGGGAAACTTCGAGAGGACTGGCTGTTGATGTGCAATTAAGCAGGCAGGAGTTGGTGCACATTCGATTGACAGAGCGAATCCCTTTTCCATTAGTCCCATTGGCCCATGAGCCTTGGAGATAATCCCGAACGGACACTTCTTGGGTGTAGACCGTTTGATCCGATCCATTGTCATCCCAACCCAAACGACCATTCCAATCTGTGCTCATCTCGTGCTCATCTCGTGCTGTTCGCTAGGACATGACACAGTTCATGTCCGCTGCTTCGCAGTCGTGCAAGTTATCCTCTGCGATCATTTGAGCCTGGGCTCCCAATGACTCGATGGCTCCCATGACCGATGACATCATCAGTCGAAGTCTGGCCCCTGGCAAGTCTGGGTGGTGGAGCAGCCCCTTGGATTTGGTAGGTGTAGAACACACCTGGACCTGCGTGTTGTGTAAAGAGAGCACAACAGAACATCGAAAAGACTCCTGGTTGGCACAAACTCACCAAGCGCGCATGTCAACTAGAGCTGCAGATCCATCAACACAGGGTCATTGGGCTACAGAATGCTGACAAGTGCTGGTCATCAACAGGGCAATATATTTTCGCAAGCAATGCTTTTGGTGGGGGCCTCCTGCTGAAGAATTTACGTCAATAGGGTTCGATTACGTACAACAGTGCTTCCATCATGAAGAGTTGTTTTTGAGATCATGTTTGGGATGAACGCACTGCGCTCATCCATTGGGCACCCGACTGACCACATGACATGACATGGCCGTAAGCCCCGAGCATCCTCAGCAGAACTTGATTGTGGGATAGCGGCTGCCGCTTGGACTTGCTTTGGAATCTCCCATCGGCGAAAGACATGCCCGAGCGGCCAAAGGCCCTGCAGGGCAAGATCGATTTTCGGCCACGCGCCACCTCCACTGCCATGGCCTTGCAGGAAAGACCACAAGCAACTGCCAACTGCCTCGCTCATAGCTTAGTTAATCCTGTCCATGCAGCATCCGCACTCGTTGACGATTTTTTGCCTATTCTGTGGCGCTCCCAACTCCTTCAGCAACGCTCACTTTTTGTAGAGGAGGCACCCAAATGTCCCAATAAAGAATCTATATTAATTTTGAACTATCATTGACTATAGGTGAACAGGTGAACCAATCAGTGATACCAGCATGTCCTAACTTACTGTTTGGGAATCCGTAGCGCAATGCAACCACACATTTCAGCAAGAAACCAGGCCAGCACAACATGATGCACACCAATTAATTCCTTTGGCAATCTTTGGCCACAGCCACAGCATCGGGAGGGGTAGTGTAGACTTGGCTTGGACGGGGCATAGACTCCCGTCCGTAAAACCGTCGCCGTGCTTCCTTCTGGCAAAAGAGACGGTGCCTCTCTGTGCCAGCTGGGCCCTGGCAGCGTAAAGGCACTTTCGACTGCCACTGAAGGATGTTTCCACAACGGAATCCTTTTTGATGAAGAACCGAAGTGGTTCATTCCTTGTGGGTCCTCCATTTTAAGAAGCACTCATTTGTTTCACCTTTCTTTGGTGCTTTGATCTAGCTGACACTATCACAAGTCATCAAACCACGTGCTATTGATCTCTTGACTGGTGCAATGTGATTGTTGGGGTACGAGGATGAGGATCACGTGGCGGTTGCATTCATATCATTTGGACAAGGTGTAGTCAGTGGACTGTTGAAACTATATAATAAGCTTATTGACAGCTTAGTCAGTTTGCTCACTGCTAGTTGCCAAACAGCTGCGAACAAGGCACTAGAAGTCACCTTTCACATTTTTCACCCTTCTATCAGCCGAACCGGCCACAATGCCGGGTGTTTTAACAGCAGAGTCGGCAAGAAACAGGTGCGAGAGGTGGGTGTGAGCGTGTTTATGCAAGTCACACAAGCAATATATAATGGAAACTAGACCAAGTGCAAGGGAGCACGAGCACCATGGAATTCGAACTTGCCGTGGGCCGGGGGATTGAGTATGAGAGAGCTTTCCAGCTGGTGAGCAGTGTCGTAGCATGGACTCGGCGGTTCATAGCATGGAGGCCAACAGAAAGGTTGGAAGTTGGAAGTGGCACCATCATTTACTTCACTTCTTCTAGTACTGGTCGCCTGGGTTAACCGAAATGACAGACATCATGTATGCAAGCCTTTTGGGGGACTGGTTTCCCGACTAAACAAGAATATATGGACGAAGGTTAACCTGCATTTTTCAGGGAAACGGCTCGGGATTCGGTCGAGCTCATCCAGTCGGCCTCCACGATCGCCCGACCTCGTGGCATCCCGATCAAACATGCGCAGGCAAAGCTCGGGAGATCCTGAGTTTGGATCAGTAGAACTGGAAGACCCAGCCTGACTTGGACAATCCACTCAGCTATTTGGCCCTTCCTGGCCCATCAGTTGAGCACTTCATGAGCGTTGCGCAAGCAGGAACCATGCTTGGAGACACAACTGTCCATCTCCGTGATGGTCCGAGGTCGTTCCCCCCTGTGTTTCGTTCGCACATCATTTGACATCAGTACGTCCAATGGATTCCATTTGATGGTGTTCCAATTTGCCTTCCCTGGCTTCTCATCAGCTCGACGGCTTGGCATGCGCGATGTGGCTGCGAAGATGCGCTGGCCGCGCATCCGCCAAGTACGCGTGGGAGTGCCGCGACCGAGCTGATGTCGCTCTTCACATGCCAATCGCGCAAGGAAGACAGGGAGGAGGCACCTTGAGGATCCTGAAAGTGCTGTCCAAGCGGAGCTCAACCGGCGGGAGGGCATGTCCACCCTGCTTAAATCATCTTAAATCGACAGAATCCAGAAAGTTCCATGTTCATCCATGTTCTAAATCAGTCTGTATAATACCTCAATGGCCTCAAATGATTGCTCGTGTTCAATGTTGCCAAGACTTGGGCAGAAGATCCACCTCATGAACCTTGAAGATCGAATGATTGAGAAGAAACGACACTTTCTTTTTTTGCGTGTATATATGTGTGTTGGGAATTTTCAAAAGGTGCTTGCTTCCTTTTGCGACTTTGCCCTTCATTCATTTGAGATTCGACGTGTCCGTGTCCGGTTTTCGGAGCATATAGGCCCGCATGTTCGGCATCCGCCCGATCCGGATGAACTTCAACAAACAATACAAAAAGCTTCAGGAACGAAGACCCCGGGTCAGTGCCGGCGTTTGAACGTTCCAGTTGAATACCGTCCAGTCGGAGTCGCCCGAACACGACTCCACAGAGCGAACCGAATCCACAGGCCGACGATGAGTATGCATCCTTGGACACCGCAGATTTGCAGGCGTGGAGATTGGGATAGATTCAGGATAGATCAGATATTACAGGTCGCGGCCGATTGGATGCGACTCCACGGGAGGAGGGCTAGCTAACATGATACAAGCCTCGAAATTGCCCATTAAAGCTACAGGAAGATGGGTGTGTGATGGTGTGTGTTGTTCCTTAATTACTCTCACACAATTCCCGCCCCACTGAAACATGCCATGTTGTGAGCCCATGGGTCACTGCCACTGAACAGAATGGATGATGCCCGAGCTTAGCTAGCCTGCTCTGTGCATAACACCAGTGGTTGACGACTTTGCTTTACGGATCCCTTTGGCGATTCCTGCAATGATTGCCACATGTATGCAGTGCACTGTATACTACACATTCATGTTAGTCAAAAAACTGTGATAACGACAAAACTGGTCTATTGGGAAAGATGTTTTAACACAACCCTGAATGTTAGATGCAACAACATGCAATAAATTCACCTTTGACGTGTGTACATGGTAAAATCAACTGTGACACTGCCAGCGCTGCTTCCCCTTTTGCGGTCCGGGCCAAGGCTCTGGCGCTGGAGCGCGGCTTGCCCGTGCGATGTGGGGAGCGGAAGGAAGTCTTGCTGCCGCTGCTGCGCGGTGGCTGGACCAGCCATAGGGACTGCGCGGGGGCTGGGCTGGACCAGCCATAGGGACGGGGGAGAGGTTTTTTTCGTCAAAGTCAATGCAAGGATCAACTCTTGTGAATGCAAAAAGGATCAAAAAGGTGAGCTGTCCTTGGCCAAGGGAATTGCTTGACTGAGTGGGTTGTACCATACACAGCGTCCGAGGTATGTTCAGAGAGTACAATTGATGGTATTGATACGCAATGATCGTGGGTGGTGGGTCCATGCACTCATTTGGGTGGGGCGGGGACGAGAAAAAAGATCAATCCACGCTATGGGAACATGTTAGACTCGACTGAACATGTATAATGAGTCAATATCAGGACAACTGCTTCAGAAATTCTTGAGTTGGCAATCCTTTGCCGGTGAATGTCAACTTAGATGTGTCAATTTTGAACTCGGCAATCATGTTTATGTCCTGCTTCAAACAGGACGATCCGTTCCAGGCCACCAATAGACTCAGACTGGCCTACACGACCTGTGGACGTATGGACTATCGGCTCGTTAGTTAAAATACGCTTGAATTATCCAGGTATTTCACTAATACCCCGACACTTCATGTAATGTATATATGCCATGCATGGAGTGTTTGGGATAGCCTTTAAATTCGGAAATGGGCCGCCTCAACTGCGAAAGCTGAGGCTATGACATTGGACAACGTGCCGGTAGTTTCTTGGCGATGCCGTGTGGGTGTCGCAGGTGGACAAGGATAGAAGAGTCTCCTGGTGGTTTTGACGTGGATAGAGGAGTCTCCATGGTTCCTTAAGCATGGAGTGAGATTTGTGCCCCGCTGACTGCATGTGTAGCAGTGGTGACTCGTGGAATAGTAGTGAAGATGGTTGCACATTCTGCTGCAGTTCCTGAACTCTTCTTTGCAGTCTTACCTTCGAGGAAACATGTGTTGCAACACGTCAGGAAACAATTGCCCTGGACTGGACATGCAAAACCAGCGCTCAAGATTCTAGATTCATCATTTGGTCCATGAATTCGGCCAATCTCGGAGATGCTCAAGAGGGCAGCCCCCCCTGGTGACCTCACCTTCTTCCGTTTTTGCGGTCACGTGACCGCAGGGTCCCAAAGTAAGTTGCATGAAGCTCCTAATTGCAAAGGCCTTGACCTTGTCATGCCGAAAAGTTCACGCACGGCACTACCAAAGCAGATTGAACAGACCTGATTATGCCGGACATAGATGTCAGTTGGCTACTTTGCTCATGTTGTTTCCTATTAGCCCGGGTGTGGGGTTGGATCCATTGTCTCTTTCGACTGCAAGGCTTTCTTCATGCCCTGAGCGACGAACGTCCGCATGCCCAGCCGTTTAGTGTTCCATTCGCCACGAGGTCCTTCAGAGGCTCAGGGATACCGGTTGCTGCCAACAGGGCTGGATGTGCACAGTACCTAGCAGACAGCCATGTTTTTAACCAAGTTAGTGTACCTCCAAGGTGTGAAAGGTCAATCACTAATACTGATAATTAATGTTAATAGTTACGGGACCGATTTTACATACCCTACAGTATCCCACAGGTCAATGACCTCATTTTACTGGAGTTGTTCATAAAAGACTACTCCAGGAGGTAAAAGGCAAGGTTTTACATGGTTTTACCCGGGGCTTTGGACTTGTAAATTAGAACAATAAGCTACTAGGAACAAGTGCATCGCATCTAGTAACAAGTGCCTTACTAGTAGTAACAAGAAGCTACTAGTTAGAATTAGAATTTAATTAAGTTTAATTCTCCTCAAACATGTTGCTGAAACGTTTCACCGAGCAGACGCACTTCAGGGCGACCACACGCTACGACATGGTCGTGCGACTTCCGCCATTGCTGGATTCCGGACCAAGATGCATTCCGTCAGATAGTGCTTAACACAATGGTCGTCCATCGCGTTGCTTCATGCATCATGTTGCCAAATTGGCTTACTTCAGTTTACGTCATGTTATATACTTCCCTTCAGAACCTTCAGTCAACTTCATCTCCAACGCCCAGGTGATGAGGTCGAGGTGGGCCTTGGCTCCAAGCAGACAACTCCGGTGTCCTCCATGAGATCGGTGTTGCAGAAGATCCGAAGCTCAGTTGAAATCGAGGAATTGATCAACTGAATCTGCACATACCGTTGACGATCTTGCAAGGATAATGTTTGCAAATGTTTGCAATGGCAAGTTCCAACTGATAGACTTGTGCATGATTGATGTCTAAGACGTTTGCGCTCCGAATTCCACAAGTCGCATGTTCTAAGGAGATTCGCCGGGGCACATGGGCTGCGACATCGGCGAGTCCTTTGCAAAGATGGTGGGGAGCCCAAGATCCACCAAGCCTGGAACGGCGGGCTCGAGACTTCCAGGTAGCTGCACAGAGTAAGAGTCCAAACATATTTATATATGTGCCTACAAGGCCGCTATCGTTTGGGATCCTGGGTGGAGGCCCTGTCCGAACATTCAGGACTCAGGACTAGAGCTACTTTCCGTGCTGCCCATCATAGTGCCCAAGGAGTTCTCAGGGCAGTTCTTTTGGTTTTTGCCTCATGGGTGCCCATGGGTGGCCGGTATCATACGTCCTGAAGGCGTGCTTGTTTTTGCTCAGGCAAAAAGGGAGCAGCAAGATTCTTCAAGATTCTATGTTGAAATATGTTCTGTTGAAGTGATTCTACACATTCAGCATTCTTTTAGACCATTCTCCAAATTGAAGACTCCAACCACATGGGTCCCAGGCAGTTGCGGGGGCCCCTGCGCTTCTCGAGGTTATTGCCTACCAGGAAGGTCAAAGCGAAGAGGACATGTTTCCAGAGAAATTTGGAAGCTCCGGACGTTTCTTGGTGGCAATGTCAGGAGGAGACTCCCGGTGCAGTTCCTGGCGACTGTGCACTCTGATTCTTCCCTATCACTGAAATAGTTCGTAGTTTAACAACGTTGACCGCGACTTGCAATTTGAAAGAATCGACCAAAAAAGGATGTACAGTATGGTTTGCACAGCAATACTTCCGAACACTGACTTATGACTGCAGATTGCGGCAGGTGTCATGGTGAGGCTCCTTGGCCCATCTTTCCCATGAAGCACGGCAGCTCCGACCCATGAAACTGAGCTCACCGAAATCCGCTGAGCCAAAATCAGAATTTGAGCTACCCTTTTCAGCTCAGGTTGCCACAGACACTTGCAGATGATACTTGGTTGGGACCTTCACGAGCAAACAGGGCCAGCCTTGTGGCCAGCTTGGTTCGGGCCAAACACGAGGTTTGTTCCGACTGTTTAAGGCCCTGCTGTGCAAAAGCTTTGCATTTCATGCGTTCGAGTTCTGCAGGACATCTCTCAGAATTTCACACCTGTTTCAGTGGGTGCTTGTAGGGTGGGCTGGAGATATTGACTTGGTCCTGGAAAGAGGTGGCTTAACGATGATACGGATATGTGTAGCATGCAAAAGACCACAACGCCATACAACGCCCATGTTCTCTCGTTTCGCCCACGTTCTGTCAGAAACTGGGACCATGCTTTCCTTAGTTGCGATGGGATATGCCGTCTATGCCCAGTTTGAGGCTGATCACTAGGTTTGCTCCGAAATCTCCCACATCGCTGATTTGATGCGCTGGTGAAAAGACGGTCAAACAGTGATGGTTCTTGACACTTTTGTCCGGTCTGTGACCACCAAACCTCTAGCTTCAGCTTCTTTTTGGCTTCTTTGGCTCCTTTGGGGTGACCCGCTGGAAGTGCAGATGGTTGGCCAGCTAAGGAGATTGAGCATCTTAGATGAGAGCTTTTTGCTCACGTTCCTTTCTGGTTCCACTGCGGACTTTGAGGCTCATGTTAACATTGTTAATGCGTAGCAGCGTAGCATGTTGGCAGTGGAAGTTTGGGTTGATTAGGTTGCCTTCCATGTCGTTCGTCCAAGCCTTTTGGCCGGTATGATTGATTTGTTCAGATAGTTGCGGTAGAGAATTTATAGTGGTTGCGGTTCAACTGGAATTGCTCAATGGCTATTGAGGTTATATAACTCATTGCCGTTTTCACCCTTCAATGCTCTTGAGAATCAGGATGAATCAATTCCATTTTTGGTTGCACAGGCCGGCATGGGATTCACTACTGTAGATGTCCCAACCCTTCAACTTGCATTCCCTCATGTTCATCACAGTAACAAGCCACACCACATCTTCGCAAGCGGACATCCACTAGTTGACGACCTCACGTCGGAAAGCGCTTGGCTCCTCGCCCTGCCGCACTGCACCTTCGCTCCCCACAGGCAGCCGCCGCCCAGCTGGAGCGCACGAGCCGCGAGGGCTGCTTGGGCCTGGCGCAGCTCAGAGCTCCAGCCGCACCAGTCTCACCCAGCAGGTGCGGCGTGACGGACTGGGCGGTGTGGTCGGGTTCAGATCCGCACGGACGAGGCAGAGACATGTTGAACTGACTTTGTTCGTGCTGTTGGTGTAGTTAGCTGGTGTTGTAGTTGCTGTCGTCGTCGATGTGTTAGTTTCTGAATTTCCTGACGTTGCTGTCTACTTTCTTTGGGTGCATCATTCTGTTTTGTGGGAATCCTGCTGGCCTGCAACAGTGCAGGCAGTCTGATGAGAAGTTAGCTGGTTCGGGCACAGCATATTGCGCCCTGGCAGTGTCAGTGTGCGACGCGCCCGCCAAGGGAGGCAGTGTGATTTGGACAGCGGAGCAAGTTGCCCAACATGTGCTCCAAAGTTGGCTTGGAGAGTAAGACCTTGGGACCCTGACGCAGTCGATTCTCTTAGAGTTTAATTAGATATTGAATATATATTATATATTGATTTGTATTCATGCTGGGAGATGCCTTCCGTCCAACACACCGGCCTTTTTTTCGGTCTCTCGCCGAGGCCGGATGGCCACCTCCAAAGCAGCCGGCAACTTCGCGCCCCACTTCTGTGAGGTCTTGCAGGTGGCTCTGGCACCGTTAAGGCATACCAGGTCGTACCTGTTTGAATTCATAGCGGGGAGGAAAAATCACTGTAAAACACATGTCCATTTGTAGTTTTAGGAGGCCTGCATTTCTGTCTTGTTGCCACACGTAGAATGCACATGTTTGTATCGGCTTTGTATTGATACCATGCTAGAGACTACAGTTCTTGCACATGCCACTATACATTTGTTCAGGTCAATATCATGCTGCAGCTGGAGGGTTCCCTTACTGTGTAAGGGCCCACGGCTTCAAAAGAGCCAAGATCTGCATGTTGGACTATTTGTTGCTCATGGCACGAGAGCCAGTGTTCATGCCCAAACAGCAGTTGCTGATGGAACAAGAGACCGTTGATGGACTTGCCGAACCTCTATAGGAGAACACATACATGATCGCAAAAGATGAACGTCCGTGTGATTTAAAGTAAAACTTGGAACCCAAACCACTGTTTGATAAGGTCCGCGTGGTTGAAGACAAATATCCTTTAGACAAGCCGCTGAATAATGGCCACTTAATTGGTTGCCGGTGCTGGTTCACAAGCTAGTGCACCACCACTGGTGCCTCCATCAAGCGGACTTCGTGCCTAAAACGTGGCAAGAACATGCAAGAACCGCCTTTGCATAAACTGAATTGAAAGGACGTCTTTTGGATCCTTTTAGATCCCCTGAGTTTCCTACTTGTATTGTCCTGACATCACTGTTATTTTTTGGAGTGCCGGTATGTAATTGCGCCATATTTCGCCTGCTGAAGAATTGTTGAGAACAATCAACCAAGGTTGATTTAGAGCCTCTTCATGAGATGCGTCCTCTCCTGGATGGCTTCTTCTTGCTTGCGCAAGGCAGGACCCTCTCGCTGCTCGCTCATTGTTCGCCTCCGTTTTAGCTTCGGCTCAGAGCTAACTGCAGTGTTCTCCTCCATTTTGCCACTTTCATCGCGCGGGAGGCTCGCACAGCAGAGAGGGCAGCTTGATGGATCAAGAGATCTTCACCATTGGGGAGGAGACAAAGTCATGGAAGAAGAAGGGCGAGAGGGGCAAGGTTTGGAGGCTGAACCCCCTATATAGAGAGTTATGTTCGTGAACTCAACATTTTTCACCAAATGACGTCCGGTGAGGATGTTGGCCGGCACCTGCAGTGGAATGAAACAAAATTATAGACTTCTACTGTGACATATAGTGACGATGAGCAGGGAAAATGCCCCCGGACTATACACATACATTCATTTCCCAATTGCCACCACTGTTTTGTCACTCTAGTTTTGCTGGGGCTCTGCCAAACCCAAATTTTCAGACTGGGCTCACCGTGCTTGTGCTCCAGGACGGGGGTGTGATATCCAGATCCTGGCCGGAACCATTGTTTCCCCTGATCTTGGTGGTCATGGGCAGCTCAGTTGGCAAAAAGATGCAGACTGGAACAGGAGAAACAAATGACAGCAAGCACCCTGCTGGCCTTGACCTGGCCTGACACTCGACGTTTTCTAATCCTTCAGTCAAGGACATGATCAACAAGTATATATATATATATACACATAGTGGATGGAAACCTCACCAGCACCGGGTTTCAAGATGTTTCAAGCCATGCTCTTGGCAGGCAGCGGCGTGTCGATCTTGCGGGTGAATTCTTTCAACCCGGGCGACTACGCACGAATGGGTGGCACCGGCTGTGGTGGAGGCCAGAGTTTGAATATGAGAGCATATATTTAAATTTGCTTTCATGGTTGACCCATGGTTGCACTGCCTTTTTCTGCCAATCTAGCTGTCGCAAGATTGGTATGATGACCAGCTGGTGATGCAATGTTTCCACATGTTTCACAATCTTGGTTGTAAACCAGTAAGAATTGCGCTTTTTCTGCCTTCTTCGAAGCCTTGAAGTCGTTTTGCATCATTTGGTTCCGGAGGCACCTTCCTAGCCCTGGCGCGGCGCTTGACCTCCGCAAACACGTTGGAGGAGGCCTTGGAGATGGCGGCTGCAGGGAATGCCTCCAATCTGGAGCCTCTTTTGTGCACGGTGTTTACGGGACAAGCGCAGAGCTTGCGGAAGTGACATGAAGTGGAGCAAAATGGAGAAGTGGCCACTTGAATGGACTCTTTGAGACCCTAAAATACAGCAATGGTTTTGGATTGCGGAGGCATCCCGGGCAATTGGTTGATGATTGATCATTATGTGCTTTTGTTCTTTTGGTCATGTATTAGAGAAAGCCCTTCAAATACCACTCCTTTAGCCTTTGACACTGGCTGAAGAGGATCGGAATCCTTTGCATACAACTTGCGCAACGCTTTGCGCAAGTGTGGTGTGTGTGTGTGTGTTCCTCTTCGGTGTTTTTTTTGTTTGCGATCGTTTGTGACATGCACCGATGTTGCACCAATGTTTGGTTCCACATTGTTGCACCATTGATCCACCTTTCGGGGTTCTCTCATGCACCGAATAGCACCGAGGACACACTGGTGAGTGACATCGATGGCACCGAAGGCCCTTGGAACCCTTGGGGTAGCGAGGGGGAGGGCTGAGGAAGTCTTGCAATGGATTCGGGACCGGCAGGCTGTGATAGAAGTGGCACACTTGTCGAGATAATCTAGCGAGGTCCCTTAGGCCTGGCTCATTTCAAGATATCTCCAATCAACTTTGCGTAGAGTGCTTTTGGGCTTTAGGACTGGACTGACGGATAATTAGAAGAAACGACGAACATGTTGGAGTTAGAGCAGATGTTGTGCAAGATGTGCATCAAAAGGAGGTGGGTGGTTTTGGTGCTCGAAATGTATCGCAAGAGGCTACTATATATATATATATTATATGTATACATAACGGGCACTCCTGGCAGTGCAGTGTTGTGTTTTTTTGAGTCAACATTTGAGTCGGAAAAAAAAAAAACGGAATATGTATTAAGTAAGGAATGTTCCCAGAGGTTCAGAAATCGCTTGGCCACCGCTTGGTATTCTGGTGTTTAAAGTGGGTATGTTACCTCGTCGCGCTAGCAAAACGCAGGGTTGCGCTAGGTTCGCGCTAGGTTTGGTGCTAGGATCAAGTACTTAGGTAACTTAGAAAAGATTAACAAACAAGAGCTGATTGCAACGGTCACTCATTGGTGCACATACACACACACCCGCACAGGCACAAGAGCAGCAACTGTTTGAAAGGCAGCGCGCGCTGAAAAAGGCAGCAACTGTTTGAAAGGGAGTAACTGTTTGAGAGACGAGAAAGCGAGTTCTTGATCACAGACGTTTGGTGGCCTCATGCACTGGCAGGGAAGCGCGCTAGATCCGCGCTAGACCCGCGCTAGATCCGCGCTAGACCCCTTTGCAACTTTGACCACTTGTCCAAGTGCTTTCCAGGGTGTATAGTCTTGGCAATTTGTTTCTGTGTGCAAGAGGATGGCTACTTTCAGCTTCACATTTGGAACCATTGGACTCTGTAAATAAGAACGCGGCTGTTAAAAGGGCATACACAACATACAACCATATACATGAGCGCATGTTGGGTACATGATGGCCACCGCTTGGAATTGCTGTGATTTCAACCTAGGACAATGATTTTAGAACGGGTTTTTTTCAACTCATTTGTCAAGAAAACTGCACTGCCAAAAATGGCTGTATAACAATTGCATCCAGCAGGAAAGCCTGACCAATTGGCAAACTATGTCAAAAAAGACAAAATATGTCAAAAACAACACAAACTGAAAAACACATATTTCAGTCAGTCTTGACTGAACCGTTTTTAGAGGACAAACCTTTGAACACATGTGTATTTTTTGTTTTGTGTTTGATTTGTTGTGTGTGTTTTTTGTATTTGTCCACATGGTCCAAAACTTTCCACAGAGTGCTCTCCTGGTAGTGCAGCTTTCTTGACAAATGTTAAGTTTTCTCGCAAATTTGTGTTCTTTTGAGTCAACATTTGTCAAGAAAACTGCACAGCCAGGAGGGCACCCTGTTAAGATTTGTCAAGACAACTACATTGCGAGGAGGGCACTCTGTTAACCTTTCTCGAGAAAACTACACTGCCAGGAGTGCACTCTGCAGAAGATTCTGCACTTTGTGGACAACTCTTGAAGAAAACAAGCTAAAACACAACACGTTTTCAGAAGTTTGTGCTGTGTGGGAGGGTTCAGTCAAGACTCTCATAAATATATTCTTTGTGCTTTCTCAAGGTGTTTTTGGTTTTGTCCCATGGGGCCTGTATTTATGTGTTCCATAAAAGGGGTGATTTTTCAAGTGGCAGATAAATATACATTGCATAAAATGAATGAAAACACACATCTCTGGGAAATCTACTTTCCCAGAGGTCCAGAGGAAAGCTATAAAAATTAAAGCTTTCAAACAAAGCTTTTCAGTATGGCAAGTTTGTGAAACCACGTGTTTATATGTTTATACAAAACCGTTTAAATATGAACATATTTATTCCCAGAGATCATTTCTGTTGAAATACACAGCTTATATATAATCTTTAAACAAAGGATCGTTCCCAAAGATCTAGGGGACAGCTTTAGACATGCACACTTTTATATTAGGCTTGAATATTATATAAGTGATCAACCCAAGAACTCTAGGAACAGCTTTTGGAATAAACACTTACAATGTAGAAGGTGTTTTTTAATATAGAAACGATTATTCTCAGAAACGACAAGGTATATAAGCTTTAACATAATTGCTTATATACATGGCTTTTTAAATATGGAAGTTTAAAAAAATCTCAGAGATGTAAAGGAAAGCTTTTGAACAAAAAGGCGTTCAAATATAGCTTTTTAATGTAGAAAAGACAATTTCCAGAGATCAAGAGGAAAGCTCTTGAATTAGCAGCGTTTAAACACAGTATTTTGTTATAGAAGTGATCATTCCAGAGATCTAGAGGAAAGCTTTTAACATAGATTTATTTATATGAAGCGCTCTTACTATTCAAATGATGATTCCAGATATTACTTGAACAAATCTGTTTGTCTACTCAAAAGGAGTGTTTTGACCTAGTTCCTAGCGGCACATGAGTTTATAGCATTTTGTCTTAAACTCACACCCCCAGCAACACCTGCTCTCTGAAATTAAATTAGACTTGAACAAGAACCAAATTTGAATTAAACAAGAATTAAATTTGAATGAACATTGTTTCTAAATTCAATTTTAACAAACTGAAATTAGGTTTGAATGAATTAAATAAACAAATTGGATTTGAATTAACGTTTTTAGATCAGTATTGAATTTGAAATAATATTGAATTAGAATGCATGTAGAGTTGAATTGGAACTGAATTACAATCAAACTACAATTGAATTGGAGGTATATATCTATATACAAATTATTTTAAGTAGTCCATTTGTCACGGCACACAACTGCCACAACTGCCCGTTCTCCATAACGGTTATAAGTTCTGAATCCTGTTTTAGTTCAGCACTCAGCTTGCCACGAGGCTCTTTAATGCCGAGCTTACATGGGGACATTACCGCTTGCAACTTTGGAAAGTTGAGTGACTTGCAGTCAGTCGGGTGTGGTGCAGTTGGGAACGCTGTGTTGGAACCAACCACGCTGATTTTGTCGGACTCGTGGTTGGATTCACCGTGGTTTCGCCTTCGTAGGTCTCCGTTCTATTTGAACAAGCGAAGATTCGGAGTGCAAATTGAGAGACCTCTTTGGCGTTGAATGTTCCTTCATTTCTTGAAAAACTCTGCAGGGTGGCTAGACTCATTGGCTTCTTTTTCCGGCCAGGCCGTGGTTCCACGTTTTTTCGATGGGGATCAGCGGGGATCAGGTGGAACGTGGTTGAGGGAATCGCACGATTTGGGGACTCACGAGTTGTGGTTCCAGGCTCCTTTTGTTTAGTAAAGGAACATTTTGTTTTAATCTATTACTATGTTACCATTCCACTTTCATGTTAGATATCTTAGTGACCCGGAATCTGTATGCTTTGTGCCCAGCGGTGCCAAGGTAAAGCAAACAGCAGCCAGAACTGCAGTGTAACTTGACCTGCACGTCGTTCCTGTTGCCTTTCGTTTGCCGGTCAAGGGGTTCGACCTGCGACTGACGCGGAGGTCCACGTTTGCAGAGATTTGTCGTGTGACGTGAATATGTCTTATGTCTCAAGAAGCCGCTAGGCTAGCAGCAGAGAAAGAAAAGAGGCACACATCAACGAACCTCGGTGATTTTGTCTCATGATGTCTCATTCTTTGAGCCATACAGTCAATTTTATGCATGCACTCCTTCAAGCACATGCACCTTTGACATGCTCACTGGTCACTAGCACCTAGCCTGCCTTGGTGAGGGATCATCCATGAAATCTGTGTGCTCTCCATTTGCTCGGCCTGAAACACTTGTTTCAGTCCACTCGGGGTAGCAAGATCCAAAACGTGTGGGGTCGAATGCCTGCTTTATCCACCATTCAAAGGGCTGCCACTAGTCACTAGTCGCTCTCCCGATTCATTGACTCCACCGTGAGCACCCAAATGATCATGGCCACTGAGTCACTGAGTGCTTTGAACATGTCCTTTTTGTGGGTATGCATTCAAGTATATAGGGAGAATTCCAAAGAGACAAATTGAAGAAGGGGGTCCCCCTACCATTAGAATACACACCCAGGTTCCCTTTCAAAAAAGGGAGCCAAGGAGCTACACAAAGTTTCCCAACCACTTGCGAGCTTGGGGGGGTGTTTTTGCGCGCACTTGCGCACCACCCAAGGAGAAGGATGTGGCGCGCTCCTTGTTGCAGATGGTTACAGAGCAGTCCGTGCTTTTAGCATTCTCACATGCTCGTATGGCAGGCTGCATGAACAGGCGCAGGGACCACATGGAGTGCGAGTGTGCCCACTTGGGCCCTAATTTGTTGGATTTTGTTGAGGGAAGAATGCAAACACCTCTAAGAATACTCGCAAGAATTTGTGGCAAACCATTGCGACCTGTCTCCCATCTTGGGATGCACGACGAGAGCATCTAAGCACCAGATGCCCTCCTGTGTTTCATGAGTGTTTCATGCGTGATTCCCTTCGTCTCATGGCCCGTCAAGGGCAATACTCAATATTGGATGTTAAAGTGCACATTGGATTTGAAGTTCCCCTGTGAACTTCATGATGTGAGGGGTGCTCATGGACAAAATCTGAGTATTATATACTATAAAATATGATTACCGCACATGCAGGTTTAAAGCATGCGTATTGAATCTCCATGGTCAGCATTGACGCTTGCACCTGCAGGGTCTTCTTTGTGGGGAGCTTCTTGGATCAGAAGAATGCCATCACGCGACAGGCATTACAGCCGGGCTCGTTTCATCGCACCCGGCTGTGAGAACTGGGAAGGCGATATCCTTCCAGCTGCTGAATGCCGAAAGAACCCATCGTTTTGGTCGCTGTGCAACGCGGAGCGCGCAGAGCACCAAACATGTGTTTGACGCTTCGTTGGTTGCTGATGTGTAAAGCAAGCGTGCACGACCGAAAGGACACCGCGGCATGGGATATAATTGCATAGTGGGGACATGCTCGGACCTTCTTTGAAATCTGTTATATTTGTTTACATTGCTTCTATCGTTTATGATGTTCTTGTTGGTTGTGGTTATGCCTTCTCTTTGTGACTTTCGGTGAATCACCCAAACGGTGCCCGAGCGATTCATTGATCCCCACAGTCAGACTGCGGCAATGATGGATCCCCACAGTTGAAAGGTTCTTGGTTTGACATCTCTCTCGTCAACCAACTGTGGGCTACGGCCAACAAAAGCTCCTCAAATGGATGGTTTGGTCGGGGTTACACCTATCCGAACCTTCAATTTAATATGTCTGCTGTTTTCTATTTTTCATGATTTTTCTAAACAAGCTTTAAAACTTCCGCGACTCAACTGCTAAGAAGTTCCTGGATGAGTGATTTGGAGTGCCTTGACATGAACATCTCGGGAGGCCATCGGGTTGACTGCCCAGAACCTTGGAGGTGCCGGTGCCAAGGGCGGCACATGCTGGCGCGAGCGTTCGTTGGCGTGTTTTGATTTGATTTTGATGTTAGCTTCCAGGAACAACAAATGTTTCAGATGTGTCGTCACAAGATTTGTATGGATTATATATGATATATCTGTGTGTATGTATAATTACACCCAAACTTCTCTCCAAGAGTCAAGATTCATTCTGACTGTACAGCCCGCAATCACTTGCCCGATCAATCTGGTCCTTCCTCGCGCACTACTTATCCGATTTTCTCAATCTGGTGACCTGAGAGTTCCAAGCAACGCGAACGGTGAGGAGGCAGTGCTTATTTCATGCGGCATTCGGAATTCCTTGGTGCCCTCGGAAGTCTTGGAGGTCACGTCGCCGAAGGCGGTGGTCTTCTAGGCGTCTTGGTGGTGCGTGGAGGGAAAGCCGATGATGCAGATGATTCGCTTTGTTTTTGAATGGTGCTCATGATATGAGTGGTCATGCTGTTTCAGTGCCCTCCCTGCCCAATCGAATATTTTTGACGTAGGGCAGGTGTTAGTGAGATCTTTAAAGCTGCGATGATGAACTGATCACCCCAATGAAGACCCTTGTTAAACATTCCCTGTTTGTCGGTGCTGTAGACCCAGTTTTGAAGTTCTTGTGCAGTGGAAGGCAGTTGCAATGGAACAGAAGGGACCAACTGGTTTGTTGTTTCCCTCTTTGTCAACCAACTGTGACTGTGAGCAGTACTTATTTGATATGTTCAACCTCTTGCAACTGCCCCAGAAACTGCTCCTGAATGAATCCAATTCGCTTCTGCACGATGCTCCAACCATGTGTGCCTGCTGTCTTTTGTGTTAGGCCAAGCGCACGACTTACTTGCACATCAAGGCCAGCCCATGTCGAAGATACGCCAGACACCTTAGCACCAGCAGGCACCACCAGTCCTATGGAGGAGAGGAAGCTGAAATATGGGAATCTCGGGGGTCCTTCTTCAATGCGCCCTACTTGCAGATCCCTCACAAAAGCACAGCCAGACAGCAACCAGACTAGGTATGCCTTTGAACACATGCACCTCAGAGAGTTTGTTAGATGTTTGATGGTCCTCCTTTGACCAGGAATGATCTGAGTCGGGCCGGACATCGTCTCGACGAGGGCTCCGGGCCGTCCCTGCAGTCCCCCGGGCGGAAAAGCCTCCGCCAGGTGCATCCTGGACGGTGACCAACATGATTCCTAGCAGAGTGACCGGAATGTTCAACAGTTTCTTGGCTCCATTTGGACCGGTCGTTATCTTCTCGCCATCGATGGCCTTTATACCTTTTTGTGTCATGTTTTCCTGAAGAAAAACACCTGTTTAGTAAGCCTGTTTAGGCTGTCCTGGAGCAAAAACAAAAAATAACGTTCCGGTGGACGGCACCAGTGGGCGGCTTGGCAGATCGATTCACTACCAGGTCATTCCGCCGAAGACATGCTTATCAAGCAGCGAGCATTGACGACACACGAGTTGCACATGCAGATGTCTTTCAAGCAGGACGGGGTCTGGGCCGCAAGCCTCAGCGTCACGCGGAACCAAGTCGCGAAGCTGGAAAGCTTCATGAGTGGTTGGCCACTTCAACTATATTATATAATCCTTTAGGATGGGACCCAGCATCTCACTTGCATAGCTGAGGCAGACACATGAAACACAAACCAGCTGCATTGAACTGCCTTCATCTTAGGTGCAGTTGAACAAGTAGCCCAGTAGGGCAGTCTCACTGACCACCAGTTAAGGTGAAACGACCAGCCCCTCACAGACAGAGAGAGAGAGAGAGGCACAAGAAACACACCACCTTAGACAACTAGGTCTGACTGGTTCCCCTTCAGACTTTAGGCCTTTGCTCATCATTTGTCAGATCCCCTTGTTGTGGTGATTTGACTGTCCAGTTGTTTCCCTGAACTGTCCGACACACGGCTTCGCTGGGGCCTCCGGATCATGAAGGCACCCGTGGACCACCGTTTTAGGCACCCAACGCCCTGAAAAGCAGGGTGGGTGATCTCCGAGACTCACCGCGCAGATCGCCGCGCTGGCACATGGTAGCACTCATCAAAGAACTTTGACAAGAATGTTATAGTACCGAAAGTATAACAGTGTATCATATAATAGATTTTGAATGCGTTTGCACAGAACTCTGCATCTATATCCAAAGCTGACTTGTTTGCTCGGAGTTTCTCAATGTTTCATAATGTTTCACTTGTCACTTGTCGGGCTGGCTCTTTGGCAGGCCAAGGCGGAGGACAGCAGGTGCCATATCAAGTTCTGCCGGATCCTCTTCAATATCGTTGAGAACCCATTGTTTGATATGTTCTTTGTGACTTGGACCAGTGATACACAGGTCATACCTTCTCCGCGGAGGAGAGGAAGGAAGAGAGACCCTCAAAGCAGTGGAAAGACGCAGAGGAAACACATGAAGCCGCGTGAAAGTAATTCAACATCTATTTCCTGTATTATCATGTTTTTTTTGAGATGGGCCCATCCAGACGGGTCACACAACATTGGCAAACCATTTTCCTGCAGAGAATGTGCTTGCAGTTTACTTGCGGTTACTTGCAATCTTAGACCTTCAGAATGTAATTGATGGACCGATGGATTCAGATTCAATATATTTCAATACAATTCCTTCAAATTGTAGACGTTGGCTGTATTTTCCTGTGCCCTTTAATTCAGAAATCCCGAAGCCAGAAGCTGGGATTCGATTGAAAGACCCACCATCATCTCGACATGTGACGTCGTGTGACGTGATGTGACGTGCATGTGAAGTGGACAGTAGAATCGGTTGGACCAGGAGTTATGAGTTATGGATATCTATAAAAACCCACATGTTGAATGCTGTGCTTATTGAAATCCAATGACGTCCCACCTCCCACCCTTTTTAAGGCCCTTGTGGTGATGTTGAACGCCGTTTTTTTGGGCATTGACATGCAGATGAGGATCTCAGATCCGTATCTCGGATTGAAGTAGCTTTGCAGCTCAGGAGTGAGCAGACCTTAGCACCTAGATGGACCCTGCGCCGATTGCTGGGCCTTGTTTATGCATTTTGAGTGGGTTTTGTTCACTTCAATGTGTTTCCAACGAGTCAGCGTTGGCCCGAACCAAAGGTTCGTGGCCGGAGCCTTCTTCGAACTTCCCCCGATAATGAAACGATATACTATACACACGATTCCACGTGTTTTGCCATGCCCTAAACTCAGGATCTCCATGGGATTACTTCTTCAGTGAAGTCGATAAAAAACGGTCCGGTGTGCCACCCAAAACTCGCTCACTTCACGTGCAACGACACGTGCGATGCTCATTTTCTGTACCGCTTCTGAGCCAAACAAGCCGAGTGACCGCACCCCGTTTCGAGCCGAGCGACGTTTCGAGGACGTCGCAGTCGGTGCCACTGGACTTTGCCCAATTCATTTTTGGAATGCTCTTCACCATGGAATTGGGCGTCCGCTTCGCTGTCGTAGGCCAGCCGGGGGGGGCGGGGGCGCCGGCGCCTGCTGTCGTTTGGTCTTCTTATGCGGTCATGAGGCCCACTTCTTCTCGTGCTGCAGATAAAAGTGGGAGGACACACAGAAGAGGAGCGACACAAGAAACAAGATGGAGCCCACGAACCCGAATGCAAACACGTTCGAAAAGCTACATATGTCCAAATGACACTCTTGTAGGACACTCTTGTGGGACACTCTTGTAGGAAACTCTTGTGGGACACTCTTACGGGACACTCTTGTGGGACACTCTTGTGGGACACTCTAGTAGGAAACTCTTGTGGGACACTCTTGTAGGACACTCTTGTGGGACACTGTTGCGGGACACTCTTGTGGGACACTCTTAAGGGACACTCTTGTGGGACACTCCTGTGGCTAACTCATTTGGGACACTCTTGTGGGACACTCTTGTGGGACACTCTTGCAGGACACTCTTGTGGGACACTCTTGTGGGACACTCTTGTGGGACTCTTGTGGGACACTCTTGTGGGACACTCTTGTGGCACACTCTTGTGGGACACTCTTGTGGGACACTCTTGTAGGAAACTCTTGTGGGACACTCTTGTGGGACACTCTTGTGGGACACTGTTGCGGGACACTCTTGCAGGACACTCTTAAGGGACACTCTTGTGAGACACTCTTGCGGGACACTGTTGCGCGACACTCTTGTGGGACACTCCTGTGGGACACTCATTTGGGACACTCTTGCGGGACACTCTTGTGGGACACTCTTGTGGGACACTCTTAAACTCCTGTGGGACACTCCTGTGGGACACTCATTTGGGACACTCTTGCGGGACACTCTTGTGGGACACTCTTGTGAGACACTATTGTGGGACACTCTTGTAGGACACTCTTGTGGGACACTCTTGTAGGACACTCTTGTGGGCCACTCTTACGGGGCACTCTTGTGGGACACTCTTGTGGGACACTCTTGTGGGGCACTCTTGTGCGTCACTCTTATGGGACACTCTCTTGCGAGACACTCTTGTAGGACACTCTTGTGGGTCACTCTTACACGACACTCTTGTAGGACACTCTTTGTGGGACACTCTCAAAAGCACTCTTGTGGGTCACTCTTATGGGACACTCTTGTCGGACATTCTTGTGGGACAGTCTTGTGACACACTCTTGTAGGACACTCTTGTGGGTCACTCTTACAGGACACTCTTGTGGGACACTCTTGTAGGACACTCTTGTAGGACACTCTTGTGGGACACTCTTGTGGGACACTCTTGTGTGACACTCTTGTAGGAAACTCTTGTGGGACACTCTTGTGGGACACTCTTGTGGGGCACTCTTATAGGACACTCTTGTGGGACACTCTTAAGGGACACTCTTGTGAGACACTCTTGTGGGACACGGTTGCGGGACACTCTTGTGGAACACTCTTGTGGGACACTCTTGTGGGACACTCGTGTCGCGACACGGTCTGCCCACACACTAGAAGCAGTCACGCGAGCGTTTCGTACGAGACTTCCTCCAAAAGTCACGCTTCGAGGCTGCAAGACGAGCGTTTCGTACGAGACTTCCTCCTAAAGTCACGCGTCAAGTCTCCAAAACGGAGCGTTTCGTACGAGACCTCCTCCAAAAGTCACACGTCAAGTCTCCAAAACGAGCGTTTCGTACGAGACTTCCTCCAAAAGTCACGTGTCAACTCTCCAAAACGAGCGTTTCGTACGAGACTTCCTCAAAAACTCACGTGTCAAAGTCTCCAAAACGAGCGTTTCGTACGAGACTTCCTCCAAAAGTCAAGCGGAAACACCCATCGGAGCACACACATCACGCAGCCCTGCCAAGCAGTTTCGCGATTCCAGCCCCTCCAAACAACACCCGCTCACACGCCAATCCCAATGGGACAGCGACATTCACCTCTACCACAACTCACAACCTCGCGATTCCCTGCGCCTGCCACGCATCTTTCCGCGTCCACACGTCTAACGCGCACAAAGTACTGCGCCTGCCACGCAATGTCACCTCCGTCACACCTCGCAACCTCACGATTCCCTGCGCCTGCCACGAAAATCACACTTCCATGCCTCAAAACCCGCACAAAGTACTGCGCCTGCCGCGAAAAGTGACAATATCATCTCATGTGAGCTTCAACAAAATTTGCACCACACCACACGTTTGGAATGATTTCGATCCGTTCTGAGCACCCTCCCATCCACCAAAATCGCCATTTCAGCTGAGACTTGTCACGAAAACAGAGCTTCGATGCCACACCCTGAAACGCAAATCCCAATGGCACGGCCACATCCAACACCCCAAAAACACGACTCTCCAAATGCTAATCCCAATGGAACTGCGTAGCAAACTGAGGATCTCACAAAACGCTGCGCCTGTGCAGCGAAATGCATCACGCTTCTTGCGCGACATGTCATTTTCATGCAAATCACAATGGAATAGCGTCGCAAACTGACACGTGACACATCCATGAAAAGTCACTTGCAAAAGCTTCCCCCAATGGCAGCGCCTTAGCGCTCTACTGCGGACGGTTGCCAACGGTTGCGAACATAGAAGCAACAGGTCGCGAACAAGGCTCTACCCCCAGACCCCCAAGAGTTAAACGAGAACCCTTCGCTACGCATTCGGGAAAAAGACAGACAGAGAGACTTTCGCATGGCAAGGAACATTGCGGAGAGATTTGACTGAGTTTACGTCCGGGCTGGTATTGAAATGACCTTTACCACCCATGAGGACCGCAGCCATCGGTGCAGTCCGACCGTCTTCCCCACCGGTGCTCCACGCCCGGAGCAGTCATGTCGGAGGTCTTCCAACGTGTGTTTCTGTTTAATGCACGTCCATCTGGCAACCTGACAATAGACTGCATGAGATTGTATGAGTATGTACATTTCTCCTGTAGATCAGGAGGTTCTCATTGAGATTGGTAATGTACTCCCATATGCACCACTCTACAGACTTCATGAGTCCTGGAGAACAAAACTGAAGACTGTTTCACCAGTTTCATGTTACAACTATGTAATTCGTCACCAAGTCATAATAAGTCATAGCCGGCCAATTTGGTGGGTGTGAGCATTGTGTACAGCACCCAGAGAGTTACGCTGCTTTGTTGGGACTTTGCCACCGGAGGCGCTCGTCAGTTATTGTGTTCCAAAGACTGGCCGCAACTTGGAATGACTTAAACTCACTACACGGAATTCGTGACGAGTCGACTTACCGTATGTCTTTTTGAGGGTTGCCCAACTCAGATGACGAACTTCACATGGTTTGGAAACTATATAGTCGGAAAAAGGTGTTGCCTTCCAGCTCCGTAGAATTACAGGCGTTACACATGTTTCCAGCTGAGGTGGACCTTGCTAGATATCACTGTGGTGACCGGCATCATATGGGAAACTGCCCTGGATGCGGCCACTGCAACTAAGGACAGTTGCCTCGGAAGACTTTATTACTGTTTTCGGATGCCAAGTGAAGAGGTGAAGAACAGTTATATAAATATACAGAGTAATATATACTGTTGCGACCGACAATCTAAAGTGGGTGTGGTTAAGCACGCTTTTGTCGTTTTATGTGACTCATTTAGTATAATACGAATTCTAGAACATGTAAGCCCAACGCTTTAACTGAGTGGCAGACTTAAACGTTGAAACACCTTTGAGAGTACCTTTGACCTATTTTAATGACTTGAAAACACCTTTGACCTATTACAAGCCAATGTATGTCGACCATGTTTGAATAACATGTACTGTTAACAACGAGGATATATCGGATATATATATATATACATGAAAATACCATTGCGGATCATTACGGGGGTCCCCCAGAAGGGCACTTATCGACCTTTGCTATCAACTGTTTACCTCGTCCATAGAATGCCAGCCTGAGAAAATGCAAAGATATTTGCTAAAAGACTTAATGGCATGAAAAAGAAACATGCCATTCATTTCAAGTTTGTTTTCCAGCAAAGCATTTGAGCTTTGAAGATGCGTTCATTCAGAGAACTTGATAAACTGCGATACCATTGCATGGTGTTACTTTTAAAACATATATAAATATAAGGCGGTGCAGGACTCACTAAGCCATGACGAAACCGGTCTCGCAGGGCATGTCCGAGACCGCGCCGACGAGCTCCAGTTTGACGGCCGGACTGACGGGACGGCGGGAGGTGGTCGCGGGTCAGTGGGGGGATTCCATGACTGGTAAGTGGGAGCATGGGCTTCTAGTTGTAGCATGTTGCGATGTGGTAGCTCCTATAGCGTTTTTTTGGCCGGCATTCCTTTTTTGGAAGGACCGACCAGGGATATGGGTCTATGTTTCCCCAACTAAGACACCCATCTATAAGTGCGAATCTCACTTCTAAATGTGGGCCAGATATCGATCATATGTCATGTGGCTATACAGTACCCATAGGCTCCTAGACAAAGCATCATAGGAGGAAAGCAACCAATCAAACCGCGGATCGCTGCGCATCCTCAGGTTCCTTAATCTATAATGTATATATATATATATGTATAGGCACATGTGTTTTCACTCCAGGGGCTTGGCACATTCATGCACATTCCTGCTGTACAAGACAATGAGTAATTAAGACCAAAACACTTGCAAGCAAGAGGATTAAGTAAGCAGAATTCTCAAAACATATCAGCTTCAGGAGTTTGATTCCGGTGATGAACAAGGGTGATTATGTTCCATGAGTGGTGGTATGCGGTGTGGTGACCTGTAGCTATGTGTGTAGCTCGGTGACGTGTAGGTGTGGTGGTTTGTGAACTTGTGAAGTCTTTGCGGTGTGGTGATTTGTGATGACGTGCAACACGGTGGAGCATGACTCCTGATCTTTTGCAATCTCCTATATTATGCATATCATTGCATGGTTTTCTAACATCATGCTTGACCATCTCGTTGATGCCGGAACTGGAGCCCCCTCCCTGCGTCGTGACGGTCGCACACGGTGAAGCACACGGTCTTCCACATGAGTTGCGCGCCGCAGGTCTTCCGCATCTTGAGAGTGACGCGTATTGTCAAGGTGCTCCAGCTCACGAGAATCTTCCGCTTTGTAGCTGCCTTGAGGACAGCCTGCGTTCACAAAGGGTGGAAGCACCTGGAGAATTGGGGTCTCAAAGTGAGTGGCTATTAGTACAGATAGAGGAATGTTTCAGAACGGGTCCATGTTCAGATCCTAGGGTCCTAGAGGAGGGTTATCCCACCATTTCGAACCAGGAACGTCAGTGAGTTTGGCCATTGCACCGTCATTTTTGTGAATTCGTGGGTTCAGCTGGGTACACGGACAGCAGACCTTCGGGCTGCATTGTGCTTAGTAGGGAGTAAGTGAAGAGATTCCTTTGGATCCAGCTACCCTCATTCCCTACGAGTCGCACAAGTCAGTTGAAGAGATTAAGCGCCAGCGCGTATGCCAGCAGGACCTTGGTGCAGTCCATTCTTCATACCCTCAAAGCGCTTTATTGGGCGTTGCTGCTTCTGTCGCTGATTGCATCTGGGCAGATATGGACCGGAGGGGTTCAAGGGTGAAAAGCACCGGGCAAAAACTCAAGCTTGGGAGTTGGTTCCATTTATATATCTTTGAATCCACCCCTCCAGAAAGGGGCGGGCTGGGAGGGAAGCTAGTGATCTTGATTTGTTGTTTTCTTTTTGTTGCTGCCTCCCTATTTGCATCCTGTGACTTGTAGCCAGAACCCTGTGGCCCCAATCAAGCCCTTGCTTGTGCCCTTCCACCTGGTCCATCGAAGTGTTTGAAGAAGGCGACTTCCTCATGGCTCACCCACACTGAGAATGTTCATCACCACTGCCAACAGCGATATGTACTATATGTGGGTTTGAAATCCTACAGGAACCTGCAGTACATTTTAAAGCTTCAGGGAGAAATTCGCACCGGTGGACATGATCGGGCCAAGACCTGTGGATACATCATGATACATCGGAGTCCGCGGCATTTGCACAACGGAAAGCACCCCAGAGACCCCCGTAAAACCTGAAAGAAGGAACATGGACCACACATTCTCGGCCCAAATCCGCTAGACCTGCGGCTGTTCGCCCTTCAGGTCTACGTCTTTGCACTGCTCTTCTGTGAGACTGCCTCTCGGCCCCAGCCGCCGATGTGTAGCACGAGCTTGCCTTATGCAGCTTATGACTAGCAGGCGGGGAGAGTCAGGCGGAGGTGTTTGACGTTGGTGGCAAGTAGCCGGGTACGGACTTTGCATTCAGAGCCGTTGTTGCTGAGGTGAACGACATGAAGTACTCTGAGGGCGGCGTTGCCTTGGATGAAGGTAGCCCGTTGGACCCAAAACCCATCATGTTTGGACACTGGATTGTTTCAGGTGACATGTTTTGTGCTCGTCGTAAGAGTCTCGGTATGGTGCGGAAGTTCGTTCCTGCCTTTGTTTGGTGGGGCACTGGTCCGTTGGCCGGTGGTGTTGCTGGTTCGCCGGTGTGTTTCATGTCCGCCGTGGCGCGAAGCCAAGGGGGTTTGAGACGGCGAGTGAGCAGACGCCACCTGTTAGCTGCTACCGGTTTGTGCATGACCTCGTTTCAGCTGTTGGTTCAAGGCACACTTTGGGCGATGAACTCGTACTTCAGATCTTTGCCGATTACTATGCTGCCACTTCGTTTTTGCAGAAGAAGGGGGGGTTGGTATGCAGAGTCTGAGGCTTTGTTGGGTCTGGATGAACTGGATTGTGTCATCAAGCATGTTTGTTTACTGGTAGCCAGTGAGTCATATTACTCTCTACAAATCCTTGGAACAGCCTTTTTTCCCAAAGCCTAATCTATATACACATTGCACGTGATCGACATGTTTTTCTTGCGGCTTGGGTGCGTGGCTAAGAAAACCCGAAGAGGTACTCGAGCAAGTGATTAAACAAAACATAATGACTAGGTGACCAGGCGCTATTACTAGGCCTAAGCTCAGATCAATCAGGATGCATGCAAAAGAGAATTTGCTCGTGTTTCTGGCTAGAGCTGTCATTCCTGGGTTCTTTCACACAACCTGGGGATGGATCAAAGACTTGGGCTCTCCCTGCGGGACATGGAGAAACTTGAGAATTGCGAGTTGTTTACATAATATACAGATATACAGTATACAGTATACAGTAGTATATACAATATGTATATATAATTACACGTTCTGTATTATTCAGTTAGTGCACAATTGGTATACATCTGAATATCCACTAATTTTGCATATGGTCATATATGTGCTGCTCAATTTGTATTAATTTGCAGCACGTGGCATATCCACTGGGTTTAACGTTTGAAGGTTCCTCTCTATCCCCAGGACTCTCTTCATGAGCATTGCTGGTGGCGTGGATTGGGAGGACCCCCTTCTCGCAGTCTCAGCCGTGTCCCCGTGGTGGTGCCTTGGATCGTTGGAGCTGACGCCAAACAGCCAAACAGCAACAGTCGTTGAGGCGGCCGTTGCCGCAACGGCCGTCAATGTCCGGGCCATCCGGCCATCACTTCATTTGACCATCATGAACCATGAGCCTGTTGTTTGTTCTTGCACGGGTCTTTGTCCCGTGCAGTTTCCAGAATCATGTTCGGAGGCTTTTTGGATGGCTTTGCTCCATTTGCTTTGATTGTTGCTTTCTTCTCCCATTGGTTGTTTTTCCCTTTGCTTGCTGTTCCTTACCCCTTGTTCAAGAACAGATGGATGTGATGTTTCTGGAGCCGCGGTATAAATAGACACATTATACATTAGATCTTCAGTCCAGCACTTTTACAGGGTCCGGCGCCGGACTTCCAACTCCGGCATTTTTCTGGATTTGGTCCGGCAGTTTTTCCAAGTCACTTTATGTGGATTCTCAAGGCTTTGCATTCTTTGTGGTCCGCATTTCTTTGAAGGAAACCCACCAGCAGCGGTTCACACTGGCTCAATCAGATCCGTTTAGGTGATCTAAATGAATTCGATACCGTGTGATGAACGCGTTGAAAAAGGCAAGTGGGTGTACCCAGCTGAAAGAACATAGACGACAATGTATTCCCATTGTTTCAAGACGTCGGGGCGCTGGGAAATATAGTTCTAGCTGCGCAGGCTTGCAGAGCCTGCCGGACAAGTTTTGGGTTGTGGAACGTGTGCTGTTCAGAATCTCAATGTTTTGCAGGGAGTTGCCCCCAAAAAACAGCACGTGGTAACTCCGGCGTAATGTCCCATAAGTCCGGCGTAGTTTCTGTACTCGGCTTTTTGACGGCTTTGAATCTTGAATGTTTAAATGGAGCCATGAGTTCTGCTACGTTTATTAGAGGGTCGAGGTCCTGAGGCAAACTAAAAAGTACTGGAGAGCAACGTACTTTGTAAAAGAGCTTTAGAGACACGGTTGCAGAGAAAGAGGGGCTCCTTGCCACATACTCCTTGGTTTGTTGTTGGAAGTCTTTGCTTGGGCACAAATTTGCTAATATTTTGTGAAGGTCGTGCTCTTAGGCATTTCGGCAGATGGGCGAGGGCAACGGGAACGGGAAGGCTCCAGTGTTGGGTTGTGGAATGAGTGTGTTAGAGAAAAACTATTTGTGGCGCAGAGGCAGTTTGCTTGTGTATAGACCAACCTTTCATCATCTCTGTTATTGAGACTCTTGCATCCGGATGTTTTTTCAGGTTCTCGTTTTTTGGGAACCCGGCGGAAAATGTTGCCGGATTGCGGTCCAGCACACTCTTTTGCCCAGAGGGGGATCCAGCATTATATCTTTTGATTTTTCAAAGATCGTGTCAACCATAGCGGACCGTGCGGCGATCTCAGGACTTTGCTCTTCTTGTTTTACATCGCAACCTGTCGGCCTTGGGGTTGTGGCGTTGGATGACAATGACATATGAACCGCATGAGGACAATCATGATGAATGACCGCACAAAACGCAAGAGCTGCTTTGGTTCGCTGACTCTTTCTATTGTTGATGGCATTCCGCAGTATGATGCAGTATGATTTTTATACGTATAGGATTGTTTCACCGAGGCTCAGAATGGGAAGGGTCTAATATACTGTCATTCGATCATATATATATATAATATATATGTATATATTTATGTTTGCTTCGGTTGTGCGAATGAGCTCGTGTTAAACAAAAATGTGCTGGTTTTTAACCCAGGCGCCGCACCCGGGGAACCGTAGGAAAATCGTTCGTTTCGCCGATTGAACATGAACCTCGCCACCCTGCAAAAGTCATTAGAACATGTTTAAGCAGTTAACCCATAAGGGATGCTGTTGAAATGTGATTTTGGTCATGGTTTCGGCAAGTGAATTTCTATCCTATCAATGATCGAACCATCATGCTTTAGACGCGGTTGCAACGGGGGGTCTTTGTGTCGTTTTGCGGTCCACAACATGACCCAAACCTTCTGTAATCTTCTGTCTCTTGCCCTTTTCACTTGGCACTCCGGCGCTCAGTCCTTCACCTACTTTGCGGTTCTCAATGCAGCCTGGCTTGGTTATTCTTGTGGTGAGTTCTTCGTGGTTCCGAACCCGAGTGCGGGGCGGTTCTTTCGCACATTGACGAGCAATCTTAGGAGAGAAGGTTTGAACTGCTATGAGTTGAGTTGTGATTGACTCATCTTAGCAGAGCATTGATTGTCATATCAATTGTGCTACTTCAATGGCAAATCGCTTGATTGTTTCGGGTTGGAGCTGAGAATCTGCTGAGCATGCGGCAACACTTTCTGCCATACTCCTTTGTTTAATAATGTCCTCCTTTAGGTTGATGTGAGGTTGCGTCTTGTGTTTCCCGGTTGAATGTTGCTCGCAGGACAAACATCTCAGTGGTCAGTGGATCCTTGTTGTTTCTTGCTTTTGGATTGTTATCTCCATCTCATTGGCCGGTTCCAGCCTTGCACACTCTGTATTTGATCAAGTTCTCACAAGTTTACCTGGGCAACGAACCTCAACCCTCGAGTTGTGAAATGTTTTGTGTCCCATTCAGAGGCCTTGGAGGTGCTTTGGGCCCTAGGGACGGTGGGTTTGCTCACCAACCCCCCTTAAGCGGGGAAGCGGGGTCACTTCAGAACACAAGTTTTAGTTCACTTTGAAACACAGGGTTTTAGATCGCTTTGGAACACAAAACATGTTTCACTTTGGAACACAAAACGCACAAAAACATGGAAGGGTTAGCAAAAAGCGAGATCACTTTGGAACACAACGCACAGATTTTTTGGTTCACTTTAGAACACACACACAGACACAGATGGGGAGGGTTTAAGGATGAAGGATGGGGTGGGGTGGGGGGGATGGGGTGGGGTGGGTTACAGTTAGCAACCAGACAGTGCGACTCTGAAGTGCTGAAAGGGTTGCCAGATTGGACAAGGTCAACATCTTCACACACATACACACACGTTTTGATGGCCTTTCAAAGCACACTTCTGCCGTGCAAACTAATGAGCGGGTTGGGTGGGGGGGTGGGGTGGGGGGTGGGGTGGGTTGCAGTTAGCAACCAGACAGTGCGGACTAGTCGTAGCGATGGCCTCCAACCTACTAGCTCTGACACGCGTTCCGAAGCGATACCGTTCCCGCGTTCCGAAGTGAACTATTTTCTGCGTTCCGAAGCGACTCCTTCGCCCTTAAGCTGTGCACCTCCAGGTGGTGACGGCGGTGTTCTGTTGCTGGGCAGAAGTGGATTGTTTTGGATCGCAGTTATGGTGTACGGGAGTATTTGTAGATATTTGTAGGCTTGTTTGTTGGATCAGTTTTAATTTATACAAGTAACATGCACTTCTTACTGGATCCATTTCCTGTAGCATCCACTTTCCCAAAAGCTCGGAACATGAACCACTTGATTCACACGTGCGGAGGTGAGTTTCTTGGGGATACGAAGCTCTAAGAAGTGAGAATGCCAAGCTGCTCCTGAGAATTCGGACTGAAAGGACCTTTTGTTGAAACTGGCACTGGCACAGCTTGCCTCAGCATGCATGCTGGACAGATGGAATTGTTAGCAAGTATACATAGACTAGACGTGACATGTGCTACATGTGAATGTGCGCATGAGCAGATGCAATTGTACCCAGACAAGCTCTTCTCCTGAAGTCTGAGTGAACTTGAAATCCTGTTTGAAACCATTCTTGTTATCCTTTTCCTGTCTTCATCCAACCTGATGAAGCCCACTGGTACATGAGGTCAAAGTGCTATTGAAGCTGCCTCCAATGATCATGCCACAGCCGTCCAAAAAATGGTGGACAACAAGGCGAAAACCGTCGATCTCGAAGCCGGAGCCACCAGAGCCGCCAGGAGCCTAAAATAGCGCCGAAACTCGTTCCGCCAGGAAGTGCATTTGCAGAAACTTCGGGCACTCTTCAGCGAGCTCGGGGATGAGCAACTTGGCAAAGAATGATTTTTTGACCGGGAAGTTACAGGGGCCCACAATGGATTCGTGGAGCTATATGAAGTGATGTATCGTCCTGTTCGAGGCACTGCACTGAAAACGCATTAGTTACTGCCATGTGACATGCAGTTGGGTGTATCAAATCTAGTAGACCTTACCATGCGAGACCGGGTTTCAATGTGTCAATGCGTCAGCCCAGAATGTCCAATGAAGTTCCCCAGAACTCTTGACGATCTTGACGCAAGGACTTGGACTCCTCACACTTTTTTGCGTTGATGTTCTCCGTTGTCTGGCCTCATCAAACGTAATCCTTAATCCTAAGGGGGTTTACGCATTACAATACAAACTATCGGATTGTCCGGTTTGGGGCGGATTACGGATTAGAACCCAGAGCCAGGATTACGGATTAGAGCTTTGGATTGTTTGGCATGCGCAGATCCTTCCTATTGGTGAAGCAACTCTGATCCTGGAGCACCCTCGGCTCCATTACCCCCAGCTGGCGTGATGGTTGTAAGGATCCCTATGACCACAAACACCCTTCACAATCCAGAACCCCGAGTTCAGTGGCTTGAGTTGGTGGCTTCCAAATCGGGGCTGTG